GAGAGAGAGAGAGAGAGACGATGACCTGCACTAAATGGCCACAGGTAAGAGTCGAACCCATAGCTGCTGCAGCAAGGACTCAGCCTTGGCACCAGGGGGCGCCAGCTCTACCAGGTTGACCAGACTTGTCCCTCTTTCATCGTGGGAACAAACGGTTTCTTTCTACCCTCACCTCAGACTCTGGAAGATGACCCTGCTGCACCTGACAGTCCACGAGCAGGGTGGCCATCACCTCCTGCTCGTCCTCCGGCTCCTCCTTGATACAGATCACCTCCTCCACCTCCTGCTTCACCTGCATCGCAACAGGAGACGACCAGGACTGTGGTGAGAAATAAGTGAAAAGTATAATACCTCCATTCCTCTAGCAGTTAGGGAGACTGTCCGGTAACAACCTTTACTCAGGTTAATACTTTTAAAACAGGCCAGAGGTCCAAGCAGGGAGCAGGGTGTGTGTCTGTGTACTGTATGTGTTGTCACCTGTGGAGCAGAAGGGGGCAGAGTGGAGCTATCGGCCTGAGGGGAAACATCGGGGGTCAACGAGCAGGCGACTGGCTGCTGCTCCCCCGGATCCAGAGTCAAGACCTGGAGCGGTGGAGGGGCCGGGATGGCGTCCGTGCCTTCTGCATGCGGCTGCAGAGGGACGGCCCACTCACAGTCGCCCTCCTGCTCCTCATCCTTGCTCTGAGCTGCGGCTTCTGCGGGACAGAACAAAACTGCACAAACACACACGTGTTCAGTCTAATTCACCCATGCAGGGATGCTCAATGTGACAACAACTGGATTTTGTCACTCCATGTGCAGCGGATTCTGTTTCTGCTGAGTCGCTCTTCAGGTTCTGATGTACTTCTACCTTAGTCTTACTTCAGCTTTGGGTTACTACCACACCTTACAAATGGCAAGTGAAGAGGACAGCAGAGGATAAGGAAATAAAAGTCACGTGAGGACGTATGTAGGAAAGCCTGCAGCAGTACACACACACACACACACACACACACACAGTGCTGTACCTGTACTGCTGTCCACAGATTCTGTTGGTGTGTTCACAGTGATTGAGATAGGCAGCAACAAATCCGGCGGGTCGGAGCCGGCGGCCCCTGCATCTGAGTGACAGCGCACTCTGATCGCATGCCTGCTCGTGCTCTGTGGAGAGGTGCATTCTGGGAGTACAAACACAGGAAGGAGTTATTGGAGCAAGTATATCATGAATGTAAAGAGGAAGCTGAACTTGGTTGGGAACTTGAATGGTTTGTGGGCTGGTTGGGTCACAGAAGAGACTGCACACAGAATGTAATGACACTGATCTCAACATACCCATAACAGGCTCTTACTTTACACACAACAGTAGGCCTACGTTAAGTGCACGCGTTGGAAATGTGCACTTCGACCACTACTGTGGTTGGTTAGGTTCAGGCATGAAGAGTGGTCGGATGGTTGGGGTTAGAAAGAAATGTCAGGGTGAGGCCCAATCACAGGCAGAGTAGGGGAGTTTCTTCCTGTGAACGTTGCAGTGTTCATAAACATCAGTGTATTATTATATTTTAGCAGCTAGCCTAACACAGTTTATCCTCATTATTTCTGCTTAAAAGCTGCTAAAATGCCTATATTTATCTGGATTTATTTTAATATTCTCAGTCACGTTTCCTTTCACTCATTGCCTACAGCACACAGCAAAGTCATTGTTGTGACTTGAATAGACGAGGTTATGCTTATTTCTGTGCTTAATAGTTGCTAAAATTGCCATTTTTTAATGACATTTTGATCTGCTATGGTCTACTGTCAGCCACCATAACTCTGTGTACAAGTGTGCATGTTTTGGACGAGGTGTGCTTTGTTTTCCCGCCTTTGCTGCTGACACACTATGATAATGGGAGTGGTTTATAGCATCTGACCATCTTTCGTGGTCCTTACCTTGTTTGCTTCTGGCCAGCAGTGCCTCAGAGCTCCGGGTCTGAGTTGAGCACGATGGCGAGGTCTCAGTGGAGGAAACACCCGCACCGCCTCTCTGTGCTTGCTGGAAGGTGGACGGGTGGATGCGGACCAGAGCGGAGGCAGAGGCTCTCTGCTGCAGCTCCTCCTCCACTCCCTGCCTGTAGTACTTCAGCTTCAGCTCGGTGTAGCGCAGCTTGGCCCGGATGTTGTCGTTCTCCTTCTCTTTCAGGGCCTTTTCCCTCTGCAACGCCGTGACGTCCCTCTTCATCAGCGCCAACTGGGCCTTCAGCTCCTCGAACTTGACTCCAACCACTTTGAGCATCTCAGCCAGCACCGTCTCCACCGCTACGTTCACTGCTCGCTCCACCACGGCACCCATCTGGCCTCGAATCAGCGACACGGCAATGCTGACGTCCATTTTGAAAAGAGCTCTGGCCCCAGAACAGCTGCAGAAGTTCTAAAGAGTTTCACCTGCACAATTACATCACAGTTTAATCATTGTGTACTGTCATAGAGGACTATAGAAACCGGTAAATATTCACATTCGAGGAGCTGAAATCGGAGAATCTGGACATTTCTTCTTGACTCAAAATGCTTAACTGATCATCAAAATAGTTGGTCACTATTGACAACTGGTTGCAGCTCTAATGGCAACAGAATAGAGAGAAATAAATGTCTGAACCAAAATGTCCAAAACAAACAAACAAACAGAGCAGGGACAGAAGAAGGACAACCAGCCTGATGAGAACATAATGATGGTTAAAACAACATTAGAGCAGCTGTAGGTAACTTTTAGAACTTTCACTTTATATTCACTAGTACATGAGACAGATAATATGTGAAAGGTAAAAAGGTTTTCAGCATTTATGTTGTACTGTAAATATGAAGGAGCCTAATGTGAGACACACTGGAACTGGACACATAAGGACAAAGCATGAGTCAACACTGGTGGCACAGGAACATGTCGGACCCTGACATGTAGCTAGTTTACCACATTAAAGTCCTCCAGTTCAGGGACGTTAGCTGACACATCTCAGACTCTTTAGAGCCGAAACAAACAGGTCTGTTTATGCTCCTGCTAACGTACCAACAGCGGCACAGACGCAGTTTATGAGCTAACGTTAGCCCAGCTGTCTGTCCGCTGTCTTTACTGGTCGGAAAGAGAAACAAATGGTCACTTACCGCTTATGCTTGTTAGTTTAGCCAGTTAGCTGAATGCTAACATAGCTAACGAGAAGCTTCTAATGTAACGTTAACGTTAACGTAAGTTTAATAAGCGCAACATTCGTAACGCTGGCTAGCTATTCTTGAATTTATTCGACTATTACATAGATACTCCATTATTAAACAAGTAACAGAAACATATTTTATTGTTTTTATAACCCGTGCAGTTTTGCCATCACAACGCTACACGGGGAAGTGTTTCCGGGTCAAACATCCACAGTGAGCAGAGTTTGTTTATTGGAAAGATGATCACTCTGTCATTAAATTGGCAAGGCCTTCTTGATTTAAAGGTGTCTAAGAAAAAAAACGAAATATACACAGTATCTAACTTTGAAGACCTGAGAACAAGCTGTATTCACAGAGCCTTCACTCTCTGATAAACAAATCAAATAAGAAGCCTATTAAGTGTCTATGATTGTTAAATATTTAAAAAATACATAATACAGAGGATTGTGTTAAAAGTTCCTAAAAACATCAGGAAAACTCGTCTCTGACGTAATATTCACAGGAAATAATCTGCTCAAAATTCATCTAAACAGCTTGATTGACACAAACTACCTGCAGTTATTGGGTTCACTCATTTGGCTTCAATTAGATACGTTTCTCATCATGTAAAATATGTCCAGCTTGTTGGCCATTCCTCTTTCATGTCCAGAACTGAACACTCTTTTTATGTTTCTGTTTTGTGGTGCACAAGTAATCAACCAAGAGTGAAAGTAAAGAGTAAAATAAAGTAAAGTAAATATTGTGTATATATGTATACACATATGTAATATATTTATATTGCATGTCAAAATTATAATCCAAACACACATCAAATGCATTGACATCTATTCTAAAACAAAAACGGATACATTATGTAGCCATTATGTGCCAGTCTGATGTATGACTGGACTTTTCCATAAAGTCTTACTTTGTCTCACTTGCATGTTTGGGTCTCCACTGTGGTGCGGTTAGTTTAATTACTCTTACAGAATAATGATAAATCACACAAAATAAAGAGTAGTAATCTCTCAAAAACAACAGCTATGTCCTGGTCATTACGCATATGTATAATTAAATGACATGAGTTGAGTCTTTTTGATCATTTTACTGAGGTGTGAGGCATTAGTGTGAAGGAGAAGGCCATGAGGCTGCCGGGTCCTGCAGTAATTAGCAGTATGAGGCCTGGCTGTAGCCAGCCCTGTTCCCTGAGGCCTGTTTACCACTGTAGAGGTGGCACACTGGGGAGGTCATAGAGGACCTAATGACACTCATTACAGTGAGCTTACATCACCTCTGGGCTTGTGTGTGTGGCCCAGTGGTATTAAAAATGACTGTGTCCAAATTAGTCTGAATGTAGGTTGGTTACTTCACTGATATTTCATCATGGTCACTACAAACAAATCTCATAAAGTAATCCTTCTGACACACACACACACACACACACACACACTCCTCATCGAAAACAATTCCTCACATAAAGGGGGATGCATTTGAAACAGCAAACTTTATATAAGGTTTATATGGTCACATGGATTATAGTTACTTGACTAGAAAGGCCTCCAAACTTAGTATGTTGTATGTTTACATTCTGAATCTGTAAGCTCCTCCTTCATTTCTTCCTCTGTGGTACATTGATCAGTCATAACATTATAAGCACTGACAGGTGAAGTGAATAACACAGATTATCTGGTTATCATGGCTCCTGTCAGTGGGTTAGATATATAAGGCAGCAAGTGAACATTTTGTCCTGCTTGAGCGACTTTGACAATATTGTTATTACTGCTGTTAACATAGTAGCAAGGTTTTGAGTCCCTTGGAAAACACAGACTGACACAGGGTTTGATTTTAAAATATAATTAAGTTTTAATATTGATAGAATTGGAACAAATGGGAAATGATATAAAATTACTGAACTCAATTATTTTTGATATAAAAAGTATTTGACAAAAAGATGCACACATAGTTGTAGTTACATGGCCCCATATGGTTGATCCTGTTTGATCCTATGCTTCTTATCTTTTATCATTTTATGCATCCTGACTGATGACTTGTGTGCTTGTCATGTATGTTTGCCTGCTGAAAGTTGAGTATTAATTTTTTTTTGATCCAATTTATTTCACCAAATGTTTTCCACTTTTTTAATGATCAAAAACCAGTGAACCATTTCAGCATACAGCAATCTTGTGCCACTCATCCATCCTTCATGATCTCAAATGAAAGTTAAAGCTCAGGTCTCAGCTTTAGTTGGAGTTAGACCCAGTAGCTGTAACAAAGCGAAATAAGAGTAGATCCACGGTCTGGAGATACCCTGGGTTTTCTCCAGACCTCCAGCCTCCAGCACGAGACCCCTTTTAAAAGCCAACTGCTGCTGCAACAGCGCCATCTGTCTGCAGGGAGAACAGAACGAGAGACAGAGCTGTATAATGGACATTTTATTTCTCAAATATTTATACTTGTTGCAGCTACCACCTTCCCTCATCCAGAAACGTAAAGTTATACCAGTTTAAGAAGGCACACGTCTCATTTCCACTGCATGGTATCACTCAAATTGACTTGACTCACTTGGAACTGTTCTTTTTTTTTGTCTTTCCACTGGCAAGAGTTCTAGATAGTACCTGTGGTACAAGCTGTCAAGGTTACAAGTGAGCTGAGCCAACACTAGAAGGTGCACACTGCAGACCACTAATTGGTCAGAAAGAACTGTCGCTAGGACACGGGACATCCTTTATTGTTCCTGTGTTTGTGTCGCGAAGAAACCAGCCTACACTGAGGGAGTACTATCTCCATTGGAAAACGAAACCAAGAAGAGTACCTGGTACCAAAAGTGAGTCATGTTGAGCTGTACCATGCAGTGAAAATGAGGCACTATATACCTGGTAAGTAGCTCCGCCTGCAGCCTGGTTTCCTCTGCGACCCGCAAGGCGGCCTCCTCTTCTATCCTCTTACGCTCCTCTTCTTTGTTCTTCCTGTCCTCCTCCTGCTGCTCCTTCCTACAGAGGTACTCTCTCCTCTCACTCTCATCCATCTCCTGTAGCTTCTTGCTCTCCTCCTCCTGCCTCCTCTCCTCTTCCAGGCGCACCAACTCTAGTTCAGCTGGAGGGAACAAAATGTATGTATGTATGTAATGTAGTTAACATTACTTCACCGTAGGATTGCCTTCCGACGTGTATATTACGGGATCATCCCGCCTTGACAATTAAAATGTGGCCCTTAGTGAATCAATACTCTATCGTTTAATGCATATATTATCATCTCTGGAAAGACATGAGAAATAATAAAACCAAAAGAGTTGCACGAGACGTGACAGAAACATGTCAGCGAACACCTCCAGCTCAAGTCCACCCATTAAAAGAACACCCAGACTGCTGGGCATGGGGCTTAAGGTGGCAACCATATTTCCAAGGCTAAGCATTAACATGTACCAATAAACATTAGCTAACTATTGTTGGCAATAAGCTAGTTAGCCAGACATGCTAATGTTAGCGCCTGATGTCAGAATCCATTCAAGTATATCCGTTACTTTAACTGCATCAGCCAATGGAAAAATCCAGCCCGACTGATCTGCGGTGCCCAGTTACAGTTGTTAAGTTATGATTGTGTAACTGATGTTAGTGAACAGTTGTTTGTACCATCAAAATGTGTCAAAATTGTTAACTTTTCTGATTTGACTTTACTTAAATGCACCAGGAAGCAAAGTTGCTGCTGTTTGGAAACTACTTTGAACTACAGCCCTGCTCTGGACCGCTTCCTTCATTTCGCTCCTGGTGGATTTCTAACCATTCACTCCTGCACAACAGTGATGTTGTGTCGCCTTCTGTCCCGCAGATGAAAATATGTTATTTTACTGTTTACTGTAAACCCCCACTTTAATCTTCTCTTCAACTTCTTTGTCGACTCTGTCTCTATACTTCTGATGGGCGCAAGCCAAATCCCAGGACCCGCAGTTTTGTTTTTGACCGTCTGCTCCTGCCCTGCTCTCATGAGATTTGTGCTGTAGGGATCCCAAATCCCAACGCAGACCTCTACTTTGATCTTCATCAACGATAGAGATAAAGAGAGAGGTTGTACTACAACAGATCCACACTGATTTGATACAAACCTACTACTATTCCCTTTCTTTTTTACTCCTCCCTCTTTTTCTCCTCCTCTCACCCTCACCTTTCCTCCTCTGCTCCTCCTCCTCTCTCATCCTCTGGAGTCGCTCCATCTGCCGCCTCCTCTCCTCCTGCCTCCTCCTTTCTCTTTCTCTTTGTGCCTCTTCCCTTCTCGCTCCCGCCTGCTCCTCTTCCTCGCGTTTCCTCCTCTCCTCCTCTTCTGCCCACTTCTTCAGCCTGGAGATGGACAATGAATATTAATGGAGTTGCCGTTGTTCTGCCCTCTTTTTGAATGCAGTTGCCCTCTGAGTTAAAGTGTGATTTTATCTTATGTTGTCGCCCTGGACACATTTTTGTGACTATTTGGTTTTACAACTTTTTATACTAATAGGAGATTGTAATTGCTATATTTTTTGTTTTGCTGCAAATTAGATTTATAAGTGAGTTCATTTATATCCAGTGTAGCTGTATAATTAGCACTGATTGCCCTGTGACATTTTCTGTTTCTTACTTTCATTGTACCTCATTGTGCTTTTGTTGCAGTTTTACAAAACTGTGAATATCCAAGAAATCTTGTGTTTACTGGAGGACCTCACACTATTAGCTAACTGTCTAGCTTTGAATAAGTCACTGTACTGACAGTATAGCAGGTATACGCAGGAATTTATGACTCCGAGATCAAAAAGTACTGCCATCTTCACTGACACTTTACTGAATCTGGCGCAACATAGCACTGAAAATAAAGCACAAAACGCTCTGTTCTGGCCTACTGTAGAAACATGGCGGACACCTGGCTGATGTTTTAAGAAGGACTGATGAAATAATTAACTTATCCTTTAAAGGACTTCATCAGTATAATGTTATAAAAACAAAGTAGGACCTGAGCTCCTCAGCTCTCTTCCTCCTCTCCTCCTCCAGCTCGCTCTTCATCCTCTCCTCTGTCTGCTCCCTCTCTTCCCGCTTCCTCTCCTCTTCCTCACGCTCCCTCCTCTTCCTCTCCACCTCCTGCCTCCGTCGCTCTGCTCGCTGAGCCAGACGCAGAGCTGCAGCCTCCTCCTCTTCCGCCTGACTCTTCCTGGGCCTGGAGGACTAAAACACACACATATAGCCGCATTCAGAGAGTCAAAATATGAGTAATAATATTTTTATTACCAATAATCATATAATTAGATCATTTTTATTAAACTATCAGTGAGACATTAGGTAGGCTGCAAACATGTAAATCAAACACATGACAAACTGCTGTATATTCTGTGTGTGTACTTCCTACCAACCTCTGGCTTTACTGGGTTCAGCATCAGCTGTTCCTCCGTTACCATGACAGTTGAACATGACGACAGGCGGCCACGTGATGAAGTGAGTCCCATGGCGCTGGCTGGCACTGCCCCCTCCCAGGAAGAGGCAGCTGACCTTCTCAGGCTCCTGTGATTGAGCTGGGACGCAGCAGCAGTGGACCTGAGCGAGCTCACTGATCGGACGCTGCTGTATCGGTCAGCGTCACTGGAAAGATGATCTGTGTCTGTGTCTGTGCCTTCGTCTGAATTTGGGTTTGTTTTGTCATCAGGTCTCTGTGTTGCAGAGGGCCTTCTGGTGAGGTGAGACTCCTCCTCGATATCCTGATTAATCTCCACCTCCTCTTTCTCATGGTTTCCTATGAGAAAAAAAGACAAGATTGCAAAAGAAAGCACATGCCACACATGTAAATATAGCTAGCTATTTACTCGAGTATAAAGTATGTCAATCAGTATATCAGTATTGTCTGGTGTGTTTGTGTGAGTGACAGATCAGGGTTTACTCTGAATGAAATGCATTACCCTTTGTCTCTACACCAAAACACTTAAATTAGAGCTTCAGAGGAGTCAGAACAGCTGACTTATACACAACAATCTGTACTCTAGCAAAACATTTTAATACATGCTGGATACAGTGTGTGAATTAAACCCCATTGACTACTATTGGAATTAAGTTTTAAAAATGTTTAAAAGTCCTATGCTGGCAAAATCCTTGTGGAGCCTATTTCTTGTCCTATCTGAATGACTTTTCAAGTTCTTTAGTGGTTCGGTGACATAAGACAATTTCATTGCTGTAGGATCAACTGAAAAATCTGCATGCCAAGTGTTGTCGTTTTTTTTTTAAATGTCTTACCGACAAATGACTCTTTGTGTTTCAGCCTTCCTTTTCTCCTCCTCCTCCTCCCTGAAGACTCTTGCCTCTCCACTTCTCCTCGCTCTTCTTTCTCCTTATTCATCGTCACTTCTCCTCTATCTCCTTCCCTGGCTGTCCTCTTCTTTTTCTGAAAGACAGACAAGTAATTGTAAACCTAAATAGGATCACTTTCTATGCCTTGCTTTTAAACAGATACAGCTGTTCCTACAGAAGGGAGAGTAGAATGGTCCTGAGTCTCTGCAGCTTCCCCGTTGGACCTCTCCTCTTGTTTCCTGCTCCTGATTGATTGAACGTCACTTCCTGTCTTTTGTCTCCGCCATCTTCCTTCCTTATTTGTCCTCGATGTCTTCTGGTCATCTGATTCTGGTCTCACTGTTTTCATGTCCCTTTTCCTAAATAAATGGAGGACATGGGTTTGTTAAACAATCTGTGATGTTTTAATCTCATAAAGGTAGGAGTATTCCTAGTTCACCCTGTGGTTATTGCAGCTTCCTCAGCATCCTTCCTCTTAGTATTCTTCCTCTTTTTGTCCACAGCATCCTCTGCGGTTGCTTCATTTGGGTTGACGTTCTGCTCACTGCATGATGCCTCACCTTTGAACCACTGCTTCTCTCTGGACAAACGGACCAACTCCAAATGTTTTACATTTCCATTTTAACACCAAACATCAGTCAGTATATGGTGACAAGACAATCATTTAAACTGAAGACTGATCCACATAGAGAGACATCTTCAATGTCCACAATCAGGATATAAAAGCTGGGGTAAACAGGGGAAATATGTAATGTTGGTTGATGCCAGCCTCCTGTTTGTCTGCTGGATTGGACAAAACAAAGTGGCAAATAGGGTTCACGTATATCTAATAAAACTTCAGTTTCCGGGAAATCTGACAGATTCCTATATTTACACATGTCTAAAAGTGAATTATACCAACCCTGGCTGATGCAATCCAGATGAATGGTAAGTCTGTACTTCACTGTCCCGCTCTTCTTCCTCCTCCTCCTCCTCCTCCTCCTCCTCCTCAGTGTAGTCTCCTCTTGACTCCTCCTTTCCTACCCGCTCCCTCAGTGGAGGCATCCTCACCCTCTTTTTAGGATTCTTTTTTGATGCCTTCCATGTTTCCGCCACTGCCTCTGCACTCTTCGTTTTTTTCTTGGTCACAGCCACTGGAAAGGTAAACAAAAAGTTTTATAACATATTCATTAAAATTTATATCATGCTAAAATAGGCAGCAGAGATTTACCTGGGTCTGTGTGGCTGCTGGGTGAGCATGCATTAGTCTCTGTCCATCTGTGAAGATCTAAGAGCTGGTTGGAGACAAAATTGAAACATCCAACAAATAGTGACAGATCAATATACAATACAATTACAGCAGACATAACAAACACTCAATACTACTAAGGCTAGTATAAAAAATGCATACACACATAGCTTTCACAGGACAGTGATAATTATCTTTACAGCAATTGTTTTATGGATTTGGGACACTAATACATTTCATTCAGATATGCTCAAAGTCATTTTGGGATTGCACTGTAGTGGCCTCTGTTGAAATTGTTTTTAGCTTCATTAGCAATTAGTATTGTTTTTGCTTTGTTACTGCTATAAAAAAGCCACCATACTTTGGAATATACAATAAGCAGAATCATAAAAATAGACATGGTAGTAAAAACATCTATATTCATGAAGAACTGCACTGAATGAACACATGCTTTACTTTTGTTGGAGCTATAGGAATTGGCCACCTCATTCAGTCTTTGCCCTAAGCTCGGCAAACACATGCCTGACTGTTAAACTTTTAGAAGGTCAGTCAAACCTTGTCTATTGACTGATGGTGCTGGATGTTGGCCAGAGGAACGTCTGTGCTCAGCTCCACCCCTTCTTCTACACACATATACAATGAACAGGCAATGGTTAAAGCAAAGAGAAACACTGTCATGGGTGGTTCTAACTTTTAAATATTTATATATTAATAAGACAGGAGAACATCTTAAGAGAGTTCTTTACAATTACATGAAAATAAGTATAGTGTCCTTCAACCCCTCTCCCAACACCCCAAAATACAGAAATGCTGCATATAGTGCACTAATCCTGTAATGATTTATAATTTCAATCATAAAGACGAGAGACTTTATGAAAAATAAAGAAACTCAAGAAAAAAAAATCAGATAATTATTTTCAATGTCAACTGTGAAGGTAGAGCAAGTTGTCCACTGATCAGAAAGTTGGCGGTTTGATCCACTGCATGTCAAAGTGTCCTTGGGCAAGATACTAAACCCAAATTGCTCCAATGCTGTGCCATCAGCGTGTTTGTTTGTGTGTGTGTGTGTTTGTGAATAGGTTAGTTCGTTTCTGATGAGCTGTACAGGAATCTGCAAATGCGTGTTCAAAATCCGTGTGTGCGTAATCAGGTTTGCAAATGTATTAAGATTTGTAAATATGTGGACAAATCTGTAAATGTCTATATAGATCTGACAATGTGTACACAAATCTGTAAGTGCAGATTAAGTAAGATTAATGGCTGTAAATCTAAGTATTTGCTCCAAGAGCTGGAAATCTCTTTTTCACACCTTCACAAATTGGATTATGCACAAACAGATTCTGAACACGCATTTGCAGATTCCTGTACACATTCACAAATTTCAATACATATTTACAGGTTATTTTACACATGAACAAATCTGATTACGCACACACAGATTTAGACATAGCTACACAATTCTCTACTCACATTTGTGAATAGTTTTGTCCTTCTTGTGAATCAGTGAATGTGACATAAAATGCTTTGAGTTGTTGGAAGACTAGCCAGACACAATGTAAGTGCAGTTCATTTACCATTTAGAAATAACCCCAAGAATGTGTGTGTGTGTGTGTGTGTGTGTGTGTGTGTGTGTGTGCGCGCGCGTACAGTACAGTATATAGACCTGTATGTGTATGTTCAGGCTGCAGGACAATAACCCAGGGTAACTTCTCTCCTTCTGCAGACATAACCTGGAGAGCTAAGAGACAGGAAGAGGGAGTTACTGATAACTACTGCACTCTTCACCATGCTCTAATGTTGATTTGAAGAATTTGTTACAAACTGAGTCTCACCTTGCTCCTGTGTGTCACCACCACCCTGAGATGGGTCCTGGCTGTTGTCGAACAGGGACAGTTGTATGATCTCCCCATCGGGACCCAGGATCAGGCTGCCAACAGATTCACCATTCTGCAAATCTGACAAAACACAACAACTCTGAGGAACAGAGACAATCACCAAGGTATGATTATATGTGTCATATGCCCTGCAGATAGTAAAGACCCTTGAGGCAAATTTGTGA